CAATAAACTACCTTAATTTTCAAGCATAACATGTATGAAGTTAAATTTTTTATAACGTAATCTGTTTGTAATACTGATTGCGTAGGCTTCAAAATTTTTTTTGTGGCATTTGAATCAAATACACCCGTATAACAAAGTTATATCTGAATATTTAGATATTTAAAATATATAATTACAAATTATATTACAATAGCCATTTTATATTTTGAATCAATAGTATTTTTGGTGCTTTTGATGTTAATAAATATTTCATATTGGCACTTTTTTTTTTAAATTCACATTTTTATTTTAATAAATATTTTATATCTACAATTAGCTTTAATAAATATTTCATATTTGCTTTTTTTTTTTTAAATTCATATATTCAATTTTTCGTTACGGTAGTTAAGCTATTAAAATTCTATTGAGATTTTGACAAAGCGCAAATAAAGTAAAAAAATTCTCATTTTATGATTTACCGAACTATGAAAAAAACATAAATCAAAAGAAATCAATATGTCTATTAAATAGATTGAATATCTGGCAAAAAAAATATTAAACTAAAATTTTATTGCTCACTATTTACTGGATAGGTATATATTTACATAAAAATATTACAATTTATAGATTAAATGCATTAGTATTCGATAATGTATAAAATATTAATCTAAATAATGATGTAAACAATTGGGAATTGGGAATTGATTTAATGTTTCCAGACATAATAATAGTGAATTTCTGATTTATATTCGTTCAATTGTTTTAATAATAAAATAATTTATTGATTAATCTAAAATTTATACAAAGATTACACATGTAAAAAAAATTATTTCAAACTTTTTAATTGCTTTTTGTACTATAGAGTGTAATAAATCAGTGAAAAAATGAATTTTTAGATAAAAATCTCTTTTTGCTAAATACGGATATTTTTTCCAGTTACTAAATAATCGTTTTACATATTGTTTTTAAAGGCAAAACGCATTCTTGTGATTGTAGAAATATAATTTTTTTTATAAATGTTATTCTACAAATGTAATTTATTTGCGTATATTAATTGGAAATTCAGAGCATAAAAGTGAAATATCCTATATTTAAAAACAATCACACAAATTGAGATGCAAAAAAATAAATATTATCATGCGCAAAATTGGTTTATAATAGTCCATACCCCTTTATTTGCGTGTTTTGTGTGTGCTAAAAACATTTTTTTTTGTTGATTTATATCTAAACCAGGGTTATTACTTTACAAGTACAATTAATTATCGTATTTTTCATCAAACTACAAATCAAAAAATGATTTTTGTTATATATTTTTAAAAAAAAAAAAAATTATTATAAAATGAATCATAATGCGTCACTTAGATAACGGTTGATTCTTTTTTTAGATTTACTTGGTTTAAAAGATATAATTATTTAAGCATTAACAAAATATTACGCGGGATAAAAGATAATCAATTTAAAGCCTACTGAGCATTTCTTATTGCAAGATTTGCTTTTGCTGGTTTATAAAAAATATATATTTAATTTTGCAAAAACAAACGATTACTTGCATGTGTAAATCCAATTAATCCGATATGCATGCATATTGATACAGCCTTTATCTAAAATTTATATTAGTATTGAGAGCAGTCTGGATTTAAAATTGGCTAAAAAGTAATTCTAAAAGCAAAAAATGATTTTATTTTTTTAATTTATCTTAGCCTTTAATGATTATGCTTTTACGGTTTAAAGGACTTGTATTAGGCGGTAAAAAAACATTTTGCATAAGCGATAATACCATAAGTCTGTAACTAGGGGCTGATGAAAATCAATTAAATATTTGACTCGCACTAATTTTTTGTAATATATAATAAAGTTGCCTAAAATAAAGTTATTCCTGCTATTGGTTTGTCCTATAAAAAAATTTCCTTATTTGGTTTTTGTTTCGGGAAAGTATACTAATTTGCAATTAACATGAGCTCAAAATTTTTGGTATAAATTTTATTAGAAGTGTAGGTAGTCATTAGGTAAATGCCGAACGTACGTTGCTACAAATCGGAGAATAAGAACTATTAATCACAACTACATTTATAATATGCGAGGTTTGGAATTAGATAAATATATTTTATATAACATATTAATTGGAAACAACACTAGTGCTATTATAATTATAGCCTTGCAC